TTTGTATTTGACCAACGCATGTTTAATGATTGGCTAGACAGAGTTCAAACCTTACAAGAGCCCAAAGCAGGAGACACCAGTCAAATCAGGAGCATGTGGAGACAAGTAAGAATAACAAATAGTTAGCTTTGAGGAACTCACAGCAGAGCTGCATGGATGGCTCAGTGGTGAGGAGCATTTGTTGCTCAGAAGACCTGGGTTTGAGTCCCAGCACCCACGTGGCAGTCCACAACAGCCTGTAACTCCAGTCCTAGATGATCCAATAAACTCTTCTGATCTCCATGGTCATCAGGCACACATGTGGTATATACACATACATTCGTGTAAAACAATCATAAAATAATTAAGAATCTATATTTTTAATTCATAGAACTATCAATAATACAGTGTCACCCAGGCATGGGAAGGTAGCATTTCATGAGTCCTTGCCCTTCCCTACCTCTTGGATTCTGGAGACATTTATTCTGCCAGTTTCCAGGTGGTACCTCAGACCATTCTGGGAGCATCATTTGGACAAAAGCCTTTTCTGATAATTGCTTCTGGGGATTTGAAGAAAGCACAGAGTAGCCTATCACACAGATGGAGAGGTTAGGCGGGGTGGAGGGAGCAATCACAGGTGGCTGGGGGTCAAAAGACATGCCTTCCCTACTCTACAATGTCGGGCACACCACAGGCATAGACACCAAGCTTAATTCACACACAGCACACAATTCAAAGGGACAAGAAGCAGTCAGACTCACTAACTCTAAAGCCACTTGATCTCAGCATAGCATAAAAGAACAGGATTCTGATAGCGATCAGAACTTCCGCTGTATGGGCAAGCACAAGCCCCCAAATGCCCTGTTGGTATAGCAATGTGCAACTTGCACAGGGCTCTCATGGAACCCCAAAACAAGACCATGATATCAGCAAATTCCTCCCTCCACAGACAGGTTGGAAACTATGAGCTGCTGGCCCAGAGGCCGAATTTAACTTGTGCAATATGAAAACAAGCTTAAAAACAAAAGTCCAAATGTCCAGCTTATCTAGAAAAGGGAGAAAAGAGCAAGGGGTGGGCTGGCCCATTTGGTCCTGGATTGTGGTGACGCAACCCGATGAGACCTGAGAAGGTACAAAAGGTGAAAAAGCAACATTTGTAATGGTCATTTGCTTTGACCACTGGAGGAGTTGGCTCCTTTACGGGCTTGGTGGGCAGCCTGAGCACAGATGTTCTAGATAAATGATAAAGGATCTTCTCTTAAAGGGAAATGAGTGACTGTCGTGGAAAGCATGAAGAACATGACGCTCCTTAGAGGGAACTTTGCATCCCAGCCAACTCACCAATGACGCATCTCTGCCTGGCCTCTACATGCCCTATGGGCTGCTGGTGTGTGAGATCAAAGAGTCCCCCTGACTGCTAGAAATTCACGCAATGCTTAAAGTACTTTTCATATTCTGTTTCTTAAAAGTACCCACACTCCCTTCCTAAGGGACATGGCAGGCTTTCCTCCAGGGTATCTCCATCTGAACTGTACAAAAACTGATGTCATTTCCCCTGACCCCTTGTGTGTTCCTCCGAGGCATCCTCTCCACAAGCCATCTTTCTCGGGGCTACTCAGATCCTCACTGGCTGTCTGGCTACCGTCTCCCCACACTCCTCACATTCACATCCCTCCTGGCCTTGCCCAGCCTGGTATGCCTACACACAAGCACTAGCATCCTCCATTCGGCTGACCAGGGTCTGTCTCTTCTGTAGGACAATCAATCCGCTTTACTCCTTTCTCCCCACCTGCCAGATCTAGCCCTGAGCTCATTGCTGAGAACCATGAAGGGGGTTCCAGGCTAGTGAGTTGGCCTGCCTTGGTTTCCCAGGCCAGGAGTGAAGGGCATTACGACCTTGCTGTGGGCAGAGTGAGCTTCACATTTGTTCACATAGCGGCCCTCGTTACCAAGACTCACCACAGCCCTTGGGGTGCCACAGTGTTGAGTGTATTCCACAGAGGAGGAATGCCGTGCTGAGGGATCCCCAGTCTTAAAGGGGGGGGCAACTATCAAACCTTCCCTAATAAATGAATGGATTTGGCTGGAGAGATGGCTCTGAATGCCTTGAAATTACCTACCTCTACTAAGAAAGAACGTTAGTGGACACATTTTTAAAGACTTCAACATAATAGTGACCTTCTTCCTACTGGAGCTGACTTTTCTTAAGTAGCGTTTGTTAGTTCCTAAGTCTTGATGCACTAGCCCACTCCCAGGTTGCTTAGGCACCTGTGATGTCGTCATTGGTCACCGCCCACAGGGACCCAGGATAAAAGGACTCCTGCCTTTTACCTCCCCCCTTTCTCTCTTGCTCTCTTCTCTGTTCTTTCCCCTTTCTCTGTAGGGGCTTCCCCCCTCTCCCCATCTCTGTCCCTCCGTCTCTCTCTCTGCCCTCATGGCTCACTCAGGCCCCAACTCTCTTCTGCTTCCCTTCCCCCGAAGAAACACTCATAAGATATGTTGTATGCATGGCATTTTTATATAAATGCGAACAGTGTTTCCTTCAGGACGTTAAACTGAGGCAGCTCTCTCAATGTGCAGTCACAGCTGCGAATCTGAAACAAGCCTGGGAGTTTTGTCTGTCTCTGACTCCTACTCCCTTGTCCTGCAAGTAGGTATGTTATCCTCTGCTAGCCTTTCACCACGGGGACAAAATACCAACATAACCAGGTTATATTATGGCTCACAGTTAAGCCCTGTGGGTGGCTGGAAGTGGGAGCGGGTGGCTAACAAGGCTACTCACCTCATGGCATCCAGGAGAGAGAGAGAGAGGCGGGCAGGTGGGGAGGAGAAAAGACAGAAGGATAAAAGAGAGAAGGGTCCAGGGACAAGATACACTCTCCAAGATTTAACCTTAGACATCTCTTTCCCCCAAGTAAATCTGCCTGCCACCCGTCGCTTCAGCTTAACCTCCCTGGTGAATTAATCCACTGATGAATTTTATGTTCTCATGATCCAATCATGTCGCCAGCTGGGAAGCAAGCCCTGGACTCATCGGCCTTTGAGGGGGGGCTTTCATATTAGATAACTCTACCTAAGACTCCAGATGCTTCTCCTGGGCAGTGGTATCACCTGGGTTTGGCCCGGGCTGAGCACAGACTCTGGGCTTATCACAGCAGCATTCTGAGCATCTGAGTAAACAATCTTAATTGTCCCATCAGCGTGGGCATTTTGTTACCCTGAACTTACAAGTGTTTTGTTTCTTAATTTTTCATTAAGATTGCAAATAAGGGCTGGAGTGATGGCTCAGAGGTTAAGAACACTGGCTGCTCTCCCAGAGGTCCTTAGTCCAATTCCCAGCAACCACATGGTGGCTCACAACCACCTATGATGAGATCTGGCATGCAGGCATACATGTAGGCTCTCAATTGCATACATAATAAATAAATAAATACATTTCAAAAGCTGAGAATTAATTTAAAAAAATATTGCAAATAAGGCGGGGTATGACGGCACACACCTGTAATCCCAGCACTCAGGCAGATCTCCGTGAGTTCAAAACCAGCCTGGTCTACAAAGTCCAGGACAGGACAGCCAAGGCTGCAAAAAAACTAAAATAAAATAAAAATACAAACAAACAAATCAATAAATTTAAGACTAGAAAAGAGAACGTGATTGTTTAAAATGACTGGCCTGCGGTGAAGGAGCAGGCTGCACCCGAGCATCTCACTGCCGGAAAGGTAGCATCATCGCGCCCTTCTCAGCGGCGGTTTCCTTTCTGCGCCGAATACCTGGGGTACGCAGCTGGTAAGGGACATTTTTATCCTAAGCTCATTGTTTCAGACAAACGGGAGAGGTCCCAATGCCCCTTCTATGAGCCCATCTCTGAGGACTTAAATTCCCCCATCTGCGCCTCAACTCTTGAAATATCCTCCCTTTCCCAATGACGTCACAGGCTCCTGACCAGGTCTTTAACCTCTGGGGCCTTATTCAACCCACAGCGGTCATAAAGACCAAAGACAGTGGCCAAAGCGTGCTCAAAATGGCCCATGGTCTGACTCAATTCCATCACAGGGATTTTCATGGTGAGTCTTCGCGGCTCCCAGAACCAACCAGGTGCACATTTCTCCTTAACCGTGGTGGCCTTTCCTCCAGATCGCTCAGATCCAGAGGGTGACATAACACCCTCTTTGGAACCTGCTTGGCCATGCAATTCAAAACGCGACCCCCGTGTCGGCGAGGTGGCTCAGCAGGGAAAGGCTCGTGTGCCAGGCCTGAGTTCTCTCCCCAGAACCCGACCCCACTCCCGCTCCGGCCACGGCCCGCGAGGCAGAAACAGAACCGGCTCCTTCAAGCTCTCCTTCGACCTTCCCTCGCCAGCCTTGGCAAACAGTTGAACCCAAGTAAAATGTGATTAAAAAGAGGAAGAGGAGGAGAATTAAGGAGTTGGGCGAACTCGTAGCTCTGCCGATGAACCGAATGACTTGTCTGTACCCCCAGGTTCTCCTAGTCAGAGAATCAGATGACTCCCACTCCATCCCTCACATCTGTTGGGGTTAAATGCTGTCTCTTTCAGGCCCACGGGGCAGGGTGGGTACCTCAACGCTGTCTCTACCTTGAACTTCTACCTTACTTGTGGGCTACAAAGTTACAGTGTTATTCCTGCGGCCTTGAGAATTACAACCCTTTAAGACTCTCGGTCCTGAGGCCAGCGACGTTAGCCAGCTTCGGGCTACAAAGCCAGCACTGCAGTCTCCAAGAACGACTCTTGGCCTCAGGCTACCTCCCACGCAAGCCTTCCTCCCGGAGGTCCACACTGGGCTGGAGGCCCTGCCTTCTGCAGAAAGAGCGCAGCATCCTGAAGACCGAGAGCGGCCCAGGTTTTGAGGCACACTGGCTAGCCCAGGCACCCAAGGGCGAGGGCTCAGCACAACCCTGACGCCCCACCTCCTCTGCCTTGACTTTCGGGCAACTCCAACCAGCAGCCTCGCGTCCGCTGGCCCCCGCCCTCCGAACGTCACGGCCACTAGGTACAGTGCCCCCTAGGGGCCTCCGTCCCGCCCACGAGGAAGAGCCCGGTCCTTCCTGCTGCTGGCCGGTCGCTGTGTAGCTTGGCTCTCCCCGGTGCCTAAGTCTCCAGCCCCGGGAGGAACTCGGTGCCGCAGCTCGGCGTCTCGGGAGGCCCCGCGGCCGCGCGCTCCGCAGCAGCATGAGAGCCAGCCTGCCCCTCCTGCTGCGCCAGCTCAGCCGCTGGCAGCTACCCCCGGGCCCGGCGGGTCGCCTCCGAGAGCTGAGTGGCTCCAGCAGCAGCAGAGGAGGCGGTGAGCCCGAGGCTCCGCGCGGGCGGCGGCTGCAGGATGGCCAGGCTTTGGGCAGCCGTGGCCCCGGCAGCGCGGCAGCCCCCGCGAGGGAGCCCATCGTCAGGTGAGTGTCCGGCTTGCCGCGCGCAGCTCCCGAGGCGGGGACCCAGGACGGATGGGGCAGCGGGGCTCTCGGACGCCGGGGACCCAGGGGACCGCGAGGGCGGGAGGCACAGTGCTTGGTGCCAACTTGCTGGGGGCGCCTGGCGCCTGGCAGAGAGGGCGTGGGGGAAAGGGAGGCCGGGAGCGCAGGACCCCGGGGGCGAGCGCATCCTCCCGCCGGCTCCCGCCGCACGGACCGCACGCCCCGCTCCACGTGCGCCGCCCGCCCCCGGCTCTGATGCAACCGCGCCGGGCGTGGCGCCGGCAGGAAAGGGGCGGCACGAGCCAGGGCGGGAGAGCGGCGGGGAGGACGGCCCCGCCATCCCGGCCCCGCCATCCCGCCCCCGCCGCCGCCCCTGCCCCGGGAGGCGCGGGCGAAACGGTCGCTGAAGCCCTGCAGGTCGCCGCGCGGGGCCGGGTCTGCAGGGTCCCTGCCCTGGCTCGCGGCGGCCGTCCAGCCACCCGCGGCCCGGCCAGGCCCCGACCCGAGAAGGCGGCTTGCTGGGCCACCGCGGTGCCGAGGGACCCGCTGAGGACCTCACCGCAGGTGGCGGGAAAGCCCTTTCCAGTCTGGCTCCCAACTGGCGCTATGAAAACAGTTAAACGAGCAAAGAAATTCTGGCCCGGGGACTGTCACACATAACCCGCTACAAATAGTTATTATTGCTGTTTGCTTATTTATTTATTTATTTTCAATAAACTGAGATGCAAACTTGAGGGTTTAGCGGACTAAAGAGCAAAAATTGAAATATTACGTAGGTACCTTTGTAGCAAGGAAAAACAAGTTCCCACATTTTCCTTTGCAATGTTTTGTGGATATGGAAATTTGAATTTCAAGTAGTCTTCGCATGCTATGAAATGTCCTTATTTTTTTATTTTCTACCTGTTTGAAAATGTAAGCCCAGGCTAGGGGGATCGCCCAGGTGGCAAAGCACGGGCTGGGACAGCCATGTGGGTGTGGTGACGTACTCCTGGGGAGGCAGAGACAGACAGATCCTGGGGCTCAGTAACCAGCCCACCCAGCATGGTTTAAGAGCTCCAGACCAATGACGGGGCCTGTGTCCAAAAGCAAAGATGAGCAACTGTTGAGAGACAGCACCCGAAGTTGACCTGTGCTGTGTGCGCACACCAACACACAGGCACTGGAACATACATGAACACATAATTAAAGTGTGGGCGCGCGCCTGTGTTCTTAGCTGGTGGGCGGTAGTTTCCTGGCTCCGCTTTGGAGCCCGAGGACAGTGCTTAGGAATCGGTTGCCTTCCTTTTGCAGTATGCCTGTGCTGCTGGGTGTGAGGGCATGGCCAAGATGTCGGTGCCAGCGTCTTCACCTGCAAGTGGAAACCATTGATGTGTCATGTAGTTCTGTTGGCCGGCCATTACAATAAGTTTATCATTGCCTGCACCTCTGGGATTTGGCCATTAAGATAAGTTCATCACTGTCTGCACCTGTGGGATTTGGCCATTAGGATAAGTTTATCACTGTCTGCACCTGTGGGATTTAGCCATTAGGATAAGTTTATCACTGCCTGCACCTGTGGGATTTGGAAGTCGGAGAAGGGATCAGATTGGCTGTCACCTGGAGTAGACAGCTGTTCAGGAGCACAGGGTGGAATCTCGCATCGTCCACGTGGCATGAAATCCCCAAGAAGCATAGTGAACCTTACATAAAAATCATCTGAAAGGTCATTTTTGGAAATGCTGTGATTCCTGGTGGGTGTCTGTCATCTGAAGGGATCCTGAAAGTATGAGCCCCCAAAACTTGCAGAGTGGGTGACTGCAGAAAAACTGCCGGGCTACACCTGGCTGTTAGTTATTCCCCCACGGGTCCATCTATCGGGGGCTTGGGCCACAGAGTGGTGCTCCTGAGGCCCCTGTGGGGTGGGACCTTTGAGAAGGTGGGCCTTGTAGGAGGTGCTTACTACAGTAAATATTGTAGACCTGCCCTGAAGGAATGCTGGGGATTTACTTCGTGTCCTCTTCCTTGTGGCTCCTGGTATGAGGAGCTTTGCTCTGAGACACAAGCCTGTGAAAACGGGCTGTCCCTGCTGGAGGCTACCAGATCTCATACTGGAACATCTCCGAGGCCAGGAGCCAAAATAAACCTTTTCTCTTTGTAAGTTAGTTGCTTCAGACATTTTATTAAAGTAATGGGCAGTGACTAATCTACCTAGGGACAACAGCGTCTGTGAAGGATTGCTGCCTCACCAGTGTTCTTACGGCACACAGGATGATATATGAAAAACACAAGCCACTGACAAACAATAAAAATGTGATTTTTTTTTTTTGGTTTTTTTTTTTTTGTGTGTGTGTGATTTTGATCTTTCATGGGGCTGAAGAGATGGCTCATCTGGCAGTTGCAAAGGATCCAAGTTTGGTTCCCAGCACTCACACCGGGACTGAGCCACCCATCACTCCAGCTTAGGTGATGTGAGGCCCTCCTCTGGCCTCCATACATATACAGTTAATTAAAAATAAATTCCATCCATACAGCAAATACATTTTGGAAAGGAAAGAGTCTGCTGTCATTTAACTGGCAGCAATTTTTGTCTTAGTGGTTCATAAATTGGTGACGTGTCTTTTCTAGCTTAGGTTTGATGGAATACTGTATAGAAGATAATCTTATTAATCTCGGATTCGGCTCATGCATGGGCTCTGCTGCTATAGCAAAATACCACTGGCTGAGTAACTACGGAGATTTCTCTCTCACTCTTTTGGAGGAAGTCCACTGTCAAGGGGCTGGCATGTGGCCAGGGCTTTGCTACGTCACATCATAGCTGAAAGATATATCTACAAGAGAGACACAGTTGTAAATTCATTCCCTCCATTATCCCCTGACACAGCCTCAACCTCCTAAATGTACCGTGTCAGCACTGTTGCAGCAAATATTAAGTTTCCAACACATGAGCTTTGGGGGACCCATTCAGACCATAGTCACACCCGACAGTAACATCCAGAGTAAAGGCTCCAGGACGGTCCCCAAGTTGGCTGACTCATGGCTCCCCATCTTTGGTCTTCTCACCTCCCAGCCAGTGAGACATAAAGAGGGCCAGGCTGTGTGTGTCCTCTTACTGCAAACACATCCTTACCTTCTTCTCTTGGCCAGAAGCTGATCACATGATCCCAGCCAGAAGCAAGAGAGGGCCCCGGAGATTCATGTGGTCATGTGCAGTTAGAATCTTACTACTGAAGGAGAGGAATTGGGAAGACTGCGGAGAAAGTGGCTGGGAAGAGCTTTATCACTGCCGCTGTTATGCGGAATGTATCTGGTGATGGCCAAAGCAGAGAGTTACGAAACTCCACTGCTGGACTGTTTCTCTAAACACAAATGGCTGTCTGAAGGAGAGGTTTGTGAAGCAGGTTTATGTTCCTGGAAGGGCCCTTCTTTTACCTTTGGAGGAGTTGAGAAGTTAAATGTGGACTTTTCTTACCGAGGCTCTCAGCTGGCAGGGATCAGGGTACTTTGGTAATTTTCAGTAACATGGCCAGCTGTTTCCTCCCACACTCAGGCATGGCCACAGCTAGCTTAGCCACAGGGAGAACGAGGAATGTAGTTGTTAGAGCAAGGCAGCTTTGTCCTCAGCTCATAGGCTTAGCACAGTTAGCCAGGTGGGCTGACTGAGCTGGAGCAGAAACCATAATAGTGTCACTAGCCAGTAGTGTTGGGGCCTTGTCAGCTTAAACTTCACCCACCTAATTTTAGCTACACTGTTCCCAGTCAGAACTGAGGTTTTCTTCCGGAAGGGCATAGACACATCTTTGGAAACATTTCTGCTACTTTTTAGGTGTATGGGGCCTAGCATTGTTCTGCAAGTAGCCTGGCAAGGAGTGGAAACATGATACGTGTGGCCAGGTGTGGGCAGGTACCCCAGCCAATTCTGATTTTTTTTTAATGGTATTGTTACATTGTGGGGTCCCTTCGTGTCATTGTATCTTCTGTCTGCCTGTTACCTCAACCATTTTAGGTCTGACAACTGATTAAAAAGGTCACCCAAACTTCTGGACCCTAGAGTTACAGAAGGCAGTTAGCCTCCTTGAGCACTGGAAATCGACTGAGGTTTTCTGGAAGAGCAAGTCGTGCTCCTAACTGTTGAGCCATTTCGCCAAGCCCCTGACAGCTAACTTAAACCTAGTGATAATCTTATCTATTGAAATGCTCCTTTCATTTTGTTTTTGTTTGTTTGTTCTGTAGGGTTTTTTAAAATTGAGGATGGTGATTTTATTATTATTATTATTATTATTATTATTATTATTATTATTATTATT